CAGACAGCACAGTGTGATCACAGACAGTACAGTCTGATCACAGACAGTACAATGTGATCACAAACAGCAGTGTGATCACAGACAGTACAGTCTGATCACAGACAATACAGTGTGATCACAGACAGTACAGTGTATCACAGACATCACAGTGTGATTACGGACAGTACAGTCTGATCACAGACAGCACAGTGTATCACAGACAGTACAGTGTGATCACAGACAGTACAGTGTATCACAGACAGTACAGTCTGATCACAGACAGTACAGTGTGATCACAGACAGTACAGAGTGATCACAGACAGTACAGTCTGATCACAGACAGTACAGTGTGATCACAGACAGTAGTGTATCACAGACAGTACAGTCTGATCACAGACAGCACAGTGTGATTACAGACAGTACAGTGTATCACAGACAGCACAGTGTGATCACAGACAGTACAGTGTGATCACAGACACCACAGTGTATCACAGACAGTAGTGTGATCACAGACACCACAGTGTATCACAGACAGTAGTGTGATCACAGACAGCACAGTGTATCACAGACAGTACAGTGTATCACAGACAGCACAGTGTGATCACAGACAGTACAGTGTGATCACAGACAGCACAGTGTATCACAGACAGTACAGTCTGATCACAGACAGCACAGTGTATCGCAGACAGTATAGTGTGATCACAGACAGTAGTGTATCACAGACAGTACAGTCTGATCACAGACAGCACAGTCTGATCACAGACAGTACAGTGTATCACAGACAGTACAGTGTGATCACAGACAGCACAGTGTGATTACAGACAGTACAGTGTGATCACAGACAGTACAGTCTGATCAGACAGCACAATCTGATCACAGACAGTACAGTGTGATCACAGACAGTACAGTGTGATCACAGACAGTACAGTCTGATCACAGACAGCACAGTGTGTCGCAGACAGTATAGTGTGATCACAGACAGTAGTGTATCACAGACAGTACAGTCTGATCACAGACAGTACAGTCTGATCACAGACAGTACAGTCTGATCACAGACAGCACAGTGTATCACAGACAGTACAGTGTGATCACAGACAGTAGTGTGATCACAGACAGTACAGTGTGATCACAGACAGTACAGTCTGATCACAGACAGCACAGTCTGATCACAGACAGTACAGTGTGATCACAGACAGTACAGTGTGATCAGACAGCACAGTGTGATCACAGACCAGGCGCAGCTCTGACTTGAACTCCTTCAGGAACTGTTACACTTGTTTGTGGACACATGTAGCATTTCCCAGAAGCCTTTAGCAGAGCACTGAGTGCCCCCTTTATCTGGGTGCCCCCTTTATCTGGGTGCCCCCTTTAGCTGAGTGCCCCTTTATCTGGGTGCCCCCTTTATCTGAGTGCCCCCTTTAGCTGAATGCCCCTTTATCTGGGTGCCCCCTTTATCTGAGTGCCCCCTTTATCTGGGTGCCCCCTTTATCTGGGTGCCCCCTTTATCTGGTTGCTCCCTTTATCATAGTGCCTGTTTATCTGAGTGCCTTTATCTGGGTGCCCCCTTCATCTGGGTGCCCCTTTATCTGGGTGCCCCTTCATCTGGGTGCCCCTTCATCTGGGTGCCCCTTTATCTGGGTGCCCCTTTAGCTGGGTGCCCCTTTAGCTGGGTGCCCCCTTCATCTGCGTGCTCCTCCTGCCCGCACATACCTGGGAGAAATTGAGCCCATTGAGAGGGTGGCATTGCTCTTCGACCCGCTCCACCGCCCCGGTCCTTTTCTTCATCCTCTCGGCTTCCTGGGCGAGGTAGAGATCGAGGACGGGGACCCCCCGGGACCTGATATCGGCCTCGGTCAGCGAGTTGACCATCAGCATCACCCAGACGGGCCTCTTCCTCTCCCAGTTCCCGGCGATGGCATTGAACAGGTAATCCGCGTACAGCCCCTTGCCCCTCTGGTCGGGTGTCATCCACAGGGGCATCATCAGCTTCACATAGTCCAGGTGCCGCTTGAGCCTGCGGTACAGGTCCCTGGGCAGCACATCCTGCAGGTTCTCCCCGTGTGGCAGCATCTGACAACTGGTCAGGGCTGAGATGGTGTACGGGTCGGTCAGGTCGAGCTCGAAGTACACGCTGTTGCTGTGCTGGAAAGCTCGCTTGCAGTTATCCGCCACAAAGTCCCACACCCTGGTGTAAGGGACGTGAATGGTCCCAAATAAATACGCCGGGGGCTCTCTCCGGATCGACCACAGGAACGAGTTCATTTCTCTTTGCTGCCGTGTTCCGGGGAGAGAGAGAGAGAGAGAAAAAAAAACAAAACACAACAACATTTAATATCAAACTCACGTGTGAGCCGAGCGACGAAAACAAAGTTCAAAAAGAAGAGCTGGGAACAGTTCTGAAGGAAAATCGAAGTGTTAACAGTAAGCTGCTGAAGTACACACTGGAAAAAAGAGAATACAGGACACAGCTCCAGAATTTACACAGTCCCAAAAACAGCACTGACACAGCAAGGTGGGACACAGGACAGAGACAGCTGCGGGCTCACTTGGTCCCTTTTTTTTCTGCACACAGAGTTGAGGTGAGGGTGCGGGGATGATGTGTTTCAGTATTTCCCCCAAAAAACTTCAGTCTCAGAGTGTCAATGCAAGAGGGAGAGGGCACAGCGGAGGGAGAGGGCACAGGTACAGAGCACAGGGGAGGGAGAGGGTACAGGGAGAGGGCACAGGGGGAGGGAGAGGGCACAGGGGGAGGGAGGGGGGAGAGGGGGGGGAGGGGGTACAGAGAAGGGGGAAGGTACGGGGAGGGAGAGGGTACAGGGAAGGGAAGAGGGTACAGGGGAGGGATAGGGTACAGGGAAGGGAAGAGGATACAGGGGAGGGAAAGGGTACAGGGGAGGGAGAGTGCACAGTGGGAGGGAGAGGGTACAGTGGAGGGAGAGGGCACAGGGGGAGGGAAGAGGTTACAGGAAGGTACAGGCTGCAACAAGTGACAGGAAAACATTCACAAGCTGACTCACCGACTTGGGAAGCTCGCATTGTGCGGTGTCCCGGAGATTATTGCCTTTGGAGGTGACGCTCTGTACAGCCAAGCTCACAAGAACCCAGAGCAGCCCGGCGTGAGGCTGCATCGTGCCTTCCATCCACACAGTTACTCTGTGTGTGTGTGTGTGTGTGTGTGAGAGTGAGTGTGTTGGACTGTTGCGCCTGGCTTTGTGTGTGTGTATGTGTGTGTGTTGGGAGGTTTCAGTCCAGTCCCGGGCAGTGAGAGAAACGCCAGCTCACACTCTTACATCTGGGATAGTGCAATCACCGGATCGAAAGCGAACTCCACAAGCCGCCATGCTGGCCACCTTCTTCCCCCCCCCCCCCCCCCCCAGCCCCCCCCAGAAAAGGTTGCGCTGATTGAGCTGAGGTGATCGTGATGGGAGAGGGAAGGTTTGCAAAAGCATCTCCTCCGGGCCCTCCCAGCGATGCGATCGCCCATCACACGCTGCGCTCGGCTGCTGCCTCTTATTTGCACAGGCGGAGCTAGGCGGGTACTGCTCAGCATTGTCACTTCAGGGGCTAAAACACTCTGTCGTGTGCTCTCTCAACTTCCCAAACTGCTGGGCAACCCGAGAGAGAGAGAGAGAAAACTTTCCTTTCGCTCAGGAATGCTTGCATCTGCCCGAAGGTGGCGCCCCACACGTGAGCCATGAGGAAGCCAGGAGTTGGAGGGGGTGAAATGTTCCCCTCTCCTCACTCCCCTGTCCTTGGGCTTCACTTAAAGGGTTTAGGAAGAAGCCATGCCGAACAATGTCAACCTCCCCTTCATCACGCAAATCAACAGCATCCCAGCAAAGTGCAAGATTTCATTCCCCAGCTGCTGAAGCAGCCTGAGCGATAAGCCGATCAAATGAGTCCTCAGGTAGGGTTGAGCAACTTGAAGTTAAGCAATCCTCCACACCAGCCCCCCACTTCCTCAGATCCAAATCCTTTTATTTCGTTGCCTTCAATCCCAGACCCAACCTACTGTTAACGTGTAGACGGCTACACAGCTCAAGGGGGTCTAGGATATACTATTAAGGTTGGTATATGGCTTTGGTCAAACCACATTGGGAATATCGTGAGACAACAAGGTGTGGAGCTGGATGAACACAGCAGGCCAAGCAGCATCAGAGGAGCCGGAAGGCTGACGTTTCGGGTCTCGACCCTTCTTCAGAAAAAGGGTCCACAAGGTTTTCTGAAGAAGGGTCCAGACCAGAAACGTCAGCTTTCCTGCTCCTCTGATGCTGCTTGGCCTGGTGTGTTCCTCCAGCTCCACCCCTTGTTATCTTAGATTCTCCAGCATCAGCAGTTCCTACTATCTCTGGGAATATTGTGAGTAGTTTTGGACCCCATATCTAAGGAAGGATATGCTGTTGTTGGAGGAAGTACAGAGTAAGTGTATAAGAATGATCAAGGGAATGAAAGGTTTGTCATTTGAAGAGCGGTTGAGAACTTTAGATCTGTAATCAATGGAGTTTAGAAGGAGGAGGGGGTATCTTACTGGAACTTACTGAATACGGAGAGGCCTGGGTGAAATGGGCATGGAAAAATGTCAACTTTAGTGGGAGAGACCAGGACCTGATGGAACAGCCTTAGAATGAATGAGCAACCTTTTAGAATTGAGATGAGGATGAATTTTTTCAGCCAGAGGGTGGCAAATCTGTGGAACTCATTACCACAGAGGGCGGTGAAGCCGTCATTGAGTGCATTTAAGACACAGCTAGATAGGTCCTTGATTTGTAAAGGGTTCAAGAGTTATGGGGAGAGGACAGGAGTATGGGGTTGAGAAATATATCAGCCATGATTGAATGGCAGAGCAGATTCGATGGGCTGATTGGCCGAATTCTGCTCCTATATTTTATGGCCTTATAATCTAAATATAAGTGGGTCAGTGTGCTCAGGTGACTGTATGGCTGGTTGGTGGTGCAGAGTGATACCAACACATGGGTTCAGTTCCTGCACTGGTTGAGGTTATTATGAAGGACCCTCCTTTTTAACCTCTCCCCTCCATGGTGTATCCTCAGGTTAAACCACCTTCGTTGTGCGTGTCTCTCTCCCACTAGTAAGAAAGCAGCCGTGATCTGGTAAGATTATGGAGATCTTACCACTCTTAAATGTCAGCATGGTCTTTGCTTCAACTATTAACTCCAGGAGTGTTTTCCAGAGCTTCAGCTTTCTACCTTCCATCTTTCACATTTAATCTTATCGATTGTGCTTGAGTCATTCATCCACTGGAAGCACTGTTTCTATTTACTCCATCCTATGCCTCGATATTTTAAAGATCTCTCTTGAAATATGCCCCTAATTCTCCTCTGTTCTAACAATAGCATTTCCCCATCCCAAGTAATATGTCAGGTTTTATTTCAAATTAGTAAAAAGCAAGTTGAAAACCGCATGGTGTTTCACATCTGCCATGTAATATCAGCTGCCTTGGGAAATATGGGATATTAATGAAACCTTTTTGATTGCCATAAATGATTTTGCTTGTCACCAGAGAACTTTCAGTGGTCACGTGAATTATGCCTCTGGTATCTTTTATCTGTTCATCTTACATAAAATTAAACTGAAAGTACTACACTTCATATTATAATGCTGTAATGACCTTTGATCCAGTGGCAGTACAGGAAGGGACTTTGTACCATCTTTATGAATATCTTTGGAATGTGTAATTGATTTTAAGAGTGCTCAATTTTTTTGATTAGTGAGAAATGCTGGTCTATGTGACATGGTGAGTGACCAGTTCTATAAGGAAAGATAGTGCAAGACAGAACTACAATTTCAGTCCTAATATTATCTATTTAACAGTTGTATTATATATCATTGCTTGTCGTATTAGATCTGCTGCCAACTAGTCCAGTTCGAAAAAAAAGCAAAAAGAACTGCGGGTACTGTAAATCAGAAACAAAAACAGAAATTGCTGGTCGAGTGACCCTCCCTCAGAATTGTGTTCAGTGAGGAAGGGTCACGTGACCCAACAGGTTAAACCTGTTTTCTTTCCACAGGTGCTGCCAGACCTGCTGAGCTTTTCCAGCAACTTTCCATTTCTGCTAAAAAAAACACAAACGGCAAATTGAGTAAAGAATTAGCATTGAAGATATGGCTTTTCCAAAAGAACTTTGAACCACTGATTGTAATTTTTTTCCGCAGTTTTAAGGAGCTCACAGCTAATCAGCTGGAGTTCAAAGACAAATTTAAAATTTATTTTTAGGCAAGCAATTCAGACACATCTCCAGGTCAGGTCGGACTGGATGCCAGGCCTTATACCGTCGAGGTAAGGCACTACGGGAGCACTGACAGTACCAGTGCATTGTTTTTCTATAGCTAATCATTAGCACACTCACCTGCTGTCCTTGTACTATGGATCATTGATGAAACAACTGCTCTGGAAGCTTGGAACAATCTTGACGAACATTTAGCAAGTGCGAACTTGCCCCCCGCAACTCCCACATCCTACACATGCGTTTATTTAAGTCTCTTTTTCCTGTGGTTTTCATTTTTGAGATTTCTTCCCACATTTTTTGTAGTCTCCCACTTTCCCTCAAGGTCAGCCCTCTGTGACTGTCATCCTTCTTATGCTGCTCCCAATTTGGCAACGGACAAAGGGAAGTGAATTCATAACAAAGGGAACGGGAGAGACAGGACTGAAATGGGAAAGAGAGAATTTGATTGGAAGGTTGGGAATTGGGGAGAAAAAAACGGACAAACGAATGAGCAAATTAAAAGTGAAGCAAGGTAGGGAAAAAGAAAAGAAGTCAAAGAATGCTTACAACGCAGAAGGAGACTGTGTGGCTTATCATGTCCTGCTCTCTCTCACAATTTACCAAGTCTTATTTTCGATATACCCTCAGACCCCACCACGCAGAAACATAGAAAATAGCAGCACGAATAGGCCCTTGACCCTAGAGCCTGCTCCACCATTCAATATGATCATGTCTGCTCATCGAGCTCAATACCCTAATCCCACCCTCCCCTCCAAATCCTTGATCCCTTTAGCCACAAGGGCGATCTACATCCTCCTTGAAAACTCGTAATGTTTTGGCCTCAGCCACTTTCTGTGGCAGTGAATTCCACCTGCTGACCACTCTCTGGGTGAAGGATTTGTTCTTATCTCAGTGCTAAAAGGTCTATCCCATATCCTTCAACTATGACCCCTGGTTCTGGACTCTGCCAACATCGGGAACATCCTTTCTGAATTTAACCTATCTAGTCCTGTTAGAATTGTATAGGCTTCTGACTATCTCCCCCCTCATTTTCCAAAGTTCAGTGAACAAAATCCCAACCAATTCAATCTCTCCTTATACCTCAGTCCTGCCATCTCAGAAATCAATCAGAAACAAAAACAGAAGCTTTTACCTCCTTCCCAAAAAACACAAACAGGACTGCCCAGGCAGCCCTATTGTTTTTGCCTGCTCCTGCACCACAGAACGTAGAACGAACAACATAGAGCATAGAACAGTATAGCACTGTACAGGCCCTTCGGCCCACGATGTTGTGCCAAACATTTACCCCAAACCTAAGGTCTATCTAACCTCCACCCCTACCTTATACTATCATCCATATGCCTATCTAATAGCCGCTTAAATGCCCCTAATGAGGCCGACTCCACTACCCTCTCCGGCAATGCATTCCACGTCCCATCTCGTCCTACTTTGGCTTGGTCTCTTCTTTCCTGGTCCGGTTCTTTTCACTTACATCAGCAATTCCTCTTGGTGTTTTATATCAATTTAAGATTTTCCAGTTTGTGGGCTCCAGGTGCCTCCTCTTTCCCAAGGAATCCCTTTTATAAGCCCATTCCTCATCAGGATGATTTGAAGGCTCTCTGCTTCTTCCTGGAAAAAAAGGCCGGAACCGTCCCCACTTACCACCATCCTCTTCCACCTGGCCGAGCTTGTCCTCACCCTGAACTATTTTTCTTTTAACTCCTCTCACTTTCTTCAGGTCAGAGGGGTGGCCATGGGTTCCTGCATGGGCCCCAGTTATGCCTGTCTCTTCGTGGGATCCATGGAACATTCCTTGTTCCAGTCCTATTCCGACCCTCACCCACAACTCTTTCTCCGATATATCGATGATATCACTGGTGCTGCTTCCCTCTCTCATCCAGAATTGGAAAAGTTTATCAATTTCGTTCCCAATTTCTACCCCACTCTCACCTTCACCTGGTCCATCTCTGACTCTTCCCTTCCTTTCCTTGACATCTCTGTTTCCATTTCTGGGGATAGGCTGGCCACCGACATCTATTACAAACCACCAACTCCACAGTTACCTTGACTATACATCCTCACACTCTGCTTCC